TGCAAAGACGTGACATACATATGTCTTTGTCACCAACCAAAACTGCAGGATTCAGGGAGGACTCCTCAGTGGAGATCTGGATCCACCTGCCGTCTTTGATCGACAGTGGACACAAAGTGCGTCGGGCGAAGAATGGAGTACTGCTGACGCGTGGACCCATTGACCTGTCCCACATCAGCACTGTCATAGATCGGCACACAGGCAAGTCTCTGCCCTTCTAAAGCGTCCTCAGCAGTTTCACCTGTACCGAATTCGTTCTGCTGTGGTCTACTTTCGCAGTGGGAGGCTTCCTCCGGGGGATTCCTCCACTTCATTTTAAAGTAGACAGCACGTACGCCCTCTGCTTAAGGCAACAAAGACTTTGATACAGCCTGAACGAGTTGTCTCTCTTTGCATGCGCTAAGAGGAGTTTCCCCACCCTCCACCTGCACATTGCCCAGGTGAGCTTGGCGTCGCGAAGTCCACAAGCAGTGGCAGGCACTTCCTTCTGCAGTTCCTAGTTCCTGAGCTGTGCAGCCTTCAGCTAGAGCCCTTGCATGCTTGTTAGCAATGGTCACTGCCTGCCTGCCATAAGAAACCGATTCACACTTCCGTTGGCAGTAGCCATTCTAACCTCGAATCCAGCCATCAACACCTGTGTTTCCAATGGAGAGCACTAGCTTGGTGCAAGCGCTCACTCCGCTCCTGGTTGCTCTCGTGCACCAGCAGGTAGTTGCAGAGGACCAGAACATCTCCTCCGAGACTACCAGCACAAGGGTTGCGGAGTATTTCAACACTCACAAGGTGAAAATCCTCGCTCAGTTCATGAACTACGCACATGAGGTGCTCCAAGCAGAGAGGTTGAAGACACTACTTTGGGCAGTACAGTCATTGCCCGGATATGATGAATGGCGTGAAATCAAGGCGTCCCGGCGCCAAAAGTTGCGGAGCATCAGCCTACGATACTTAAGCCTGATGAGGTTCACCGAGCTTCCCACCACCCAAGGAACGTGGTACTACAGCGTGATCCTCACCGAACTCGAGAGCTTCTATCGTGAGACGCACATTATCCGGTATACCTCAAGCATGCTTCCGCCGCATCTTGACGCTCAGTATCAACAAGAGGTTGGGCAGGTGCGTGATGAGTTCTTTGCAGAGGATGCGGAAATGAACATAGCGATCGCACAGTGGACCACAATTTCGGCAGGACTCACAGTCTGAGTGGAGGCTACCTCCGGAGGATTCCTCCCCTTCTTGCACCTCGCCGATTCCCTGTACACTTTTCAACACCTAAATCGGCACATTTGAAGGTGCAACTCTCAGCTCGACTAAGTTATGTATTAGTATGGCAGAACTCCATTTAGCACAGAGGTTGATAATAGTGCCTCTTTATTTCTTTCATTAGAAGGCTTCCTCCCATGTTGTTCGTATTTCATGTTCTTGAGTCCTTCTTCATACATTAAAGTGCAATGGAGCTTCTCCAGCAAGGGATTGCAATATCACTTGTCCAGCCTTGCAACAAAAGCAGATGGCTTTTTGTGACCATCAGCGGCTATGAGGAAGAAATCTTGCCTGAGTCTGTGTTGCACAATGGAGATCCCATCCACCTACCCCATGCAGAGCACACCGCTCGTGATGCAGGCTGCATTTGGCTGACGTCAACCGATGCTCTGAACAATCAGGCAGGGAGTGATCTCCAGATAGCATTGCTTGCAGCTAATCATCTCGTTGGCACCAGCATGCATGCTCACACTTGATGGAACTTTCTGTTGTGAGCAGCTTGCGCTTCAGGCAAACTACAATCATTAATTCTCTTTTTCAGTCAGCAAGCTGGCAATCTTGATCTACTCTAGTTGTCATGCACTTTTGTTTCTTTCTTAATTCTATCTTACCGTTTTCTTGAACCTATTGATTCATTGCTTCAGATAAGGAGGTTTCCTCCTGAATATCCTTAGCTCCACATTTTCTCGACCAGGCGTGAAGTTTTGCCCTGTCGCAGCGCTGGCCCCAGGAGCCGCGCAAGGCGTCCCAGGCCAGGCTTCGCAAACTCAGCTTCCCTGCATCAAATTTGGGCATTCTACTTGGAACGGGCAAGGCCGCCTTGGTGAGCTCTGCCTACGGCCCTCTGCCAGTTGTTTAGCGTTACCTGTGTGAGACGTCACTAGACGGGAACGCTGAGTGTCGGCCTCACCAGAGGTACGGCTCGCTAAACAGCTGGTGCGTGGGTGCTGGACGCAGTGACTCACAGTAGGGTGTCGGGGTAGCCGCGCTTACTTTTCACTCTTTTGCAGTGATGAGTACTTGAAATCGGTGGCGGCCTCCGTGCCCACTCCAATTTCTTCTTTGATCCAATGCTTCAGGTCAGGAGGTTTCCTCCTGTACATCCTTAAGTACTCTGCCAAAGCAGATTCAGTATAGCAGGTAGTGGGACCTGGCAATCTGGAGGAAGCGATCCTCCCGAAGTCCAAAAGGCCGGACTGTGAAATAACAAAGGCGGGTGAAACCTTCTATATCATCCTTGCCCGCCTTAATCACACCAAACTCAGCTAGCGCACAACTATAGCCTGCAACACAACATCGGGGCCAGCCGGCACTGCTGCAGTCGCGGGTGCAGGTGAGCCAGTAGGAAGCGGTCGTAGGGTGCCCAGCCAGCACAGCGCTATCGCAGCCCCGAGGGGCGGATGCTTTCCACATACTCGAACATAGCTGTGCACAACAATCTTCAGCAGCCCCGAGGGGCGTGAAGTACAAACTAGCAAAGACTGCTGGAGCTCCCAAGGCGGATACAGAGTAGCCGACTTGCCGAGGATCCAAAGTGATCAGAGGTCCACATGCTGATTCTGGCAGTGAGTGCAATGCAAAAATGTTGCAGTGGTGGTGGTGGTGGGTGGGTGGGCGTGTGTGTGTGTGTGTGTGTGTGTGTGTGTGGTGTTTGTTGTGTGCGAGTGTGTTGTGTTTGTTGTGAGTGTGTGTGTGTGTGTGTGTGTTGCTGTTGTTTTGTGTGTGTGTGTGTGTCTTGAGCTTGCTGTTTGTTTGTGTGTGTGTGTGTGTGTGTTGTGTTTGTTGCGTGCGTTTGTTGTGTGTGTGTGTGTGCGTGCGTTTGTTGTGTGTGTGTGTGTGTGTGTATGTGTGTGTGTGTGTGTGTGTGTTGTGTGTGTGTGTGTGTGTGTGTGTGTGTGTGTGTGTGTGTGTGTGTGTGTTGTGTGTGTGTGTGTTGGTGTGTGTGGTTGTGTGTGTGTGTGTGTGTGTGTGTGTGGTGTGTGTTTGTTGTTGTGTGGTGTGTTGTGTTTGTGTGGTGTGTGTGGTGTGTGTGTGTGTGTGTGTGTGTGGTGTGTGTGGTGTGTGTTTGTGTTTTCAGGCGTGTGGTTCTTGTGTGTGTGGTGGTGTGTTTGTTTCGTGTGTGTGATTTGTGTGCTGCGTTGTGTGTGTGTGTGTGTGTGTGTGTGTTGTGCTGTGTGTTGTGTGTGGTGTGTGTGTGTGTGTGGTTGTGTGTGTGCTTTGTGTGTGTGTGTGTGTTGGGTGTGTGCGTGTGTGTGCGTGTGCGATGTTTGCTCTGTGTGTGTGTGTGTGTGTGTGTGTGTGTGTGTCGGGTTTGTTGCGTGTCTTGTGCTTGTTGTGTATATGTGTGTGTGTGTGTGTGTGTTGTGTTTGTTGTGTGCGTGTTTGTTGTGTTTGTTGTTTGTTGTGTTTGTTCTTTGTTGCGTTCGTTGTTTGTTGTGTTCCCAGTCTGTTGTGTTCGTTGTTTGCTTTCGCCGTTTGTTGCGTTCGTTGCTTGCTGTGTTCGGTGCTTGCTATGCTCGCTGTTTGTTGTGTTCGTTGTTTGTTGCGTTCGTTGTTTGTAGTGTTCGTCGTTTGTTGCCTTTGTTGTTTGATTAATTTTCGATGTGTTCGCATTCGTTGCTTGCTGTGCTCGTTGTTCGTCGCGATTGTTGATCGTTGTGCTTGTGGTTCGTTGTGCTTGTTGTTCGTTGTTCTTGTGGTTCGTTGTGCTTGTTGGTGGTCGTTGTGCTTGCTGCTTGTTGTGTTTGCTGGTTATGGTGTTTGTTGTTTCTCGCGCTTGGTGCTTGTTGTGCTTGCTGTTTCTTGTTGTTCGTCGCGATTGTTGTTTGTTGCGTTTGCTGTTTCTTGTGCTTGTTGTTTGTTGTGTTTGTTGTTTATTTGGGCTTGTTGTTTGTTGGATTTGGTGTTTGTTGTGTTTGTTGTGGTTGTGCGCTTGTTGTGTTTGTTGTGTTTGTTGTGTTTCTTGTGCTTCTTGTGTTTGTTGTGTTCGTTGTGTTCGTTGCATTCGTTGTGTTCGTTGTGTTTCTTGTGTTTCTTGTGTTTCTTGTGTTTCTTGTGTTTCTTGTGTGTCGGTTGTGTTTGTTGTGTTTGCTGTGTTTGTTGTGTTTCTTGTGTTTGTTGTGTTTGTTGTGTTTGTTGTGTTTGTTGTGTTTGTTGTGTTTGTTGTGTTTGTTGTGTTTGTTGTGTTTGTTGTGGTTGTTGTGGTTGTTGTGTTTGTTGTGTTTGTTGTGTTTGTTGTGTTTGTTGTGTTTGTTGTGTTTGTTGTGTTTGTTGTGTTTGTTGTGTTTGTTGTGTTTGTTGTGTTTGTTGTGTTTGTTGTGTTTGTTGTGTTTGTTGTGTTTGTTGTGTTTGTTGTGTTTGTTGTGTTTGTTCTGTTTGCTCTGTTTGCTCTGTTTGTTCTGTTTGTTCTGTTTGTTCTGTTTGGTCTTTGTTGTGTTTGGTGCTTGTTGCGGTTTCTGTGTGGTTGCTGGTGTTGGGTTTTTTGTGTGCTGTGGTTGTTGCTTGTTGTGTTTGTTGCTTGTTGAGCTTGTTGCGCGTGGGGTTTATTGATTGCTGTGATTGCTGCGGTTGTTCCTTGTTGTGTTTGCTGTTCCTTGTGTTTGTTGCTTGTTGTTTGTTCGTCGTTCGAATGTTCTTTGGTGTTCAAATGTTGTTTGTTGTTCGAATGGTGATTGCTGTTTGTTCGTTGATTGTGTTCGTTCGTTCTGATGTTCTTGGCCCAGTTTTCTCAGCCGAGGTACGTGATCATGCGACCCTTTTTCGTCAGAATGAGGACACCTGCAGTTACTCCGCTCTGTTCAGTGAAGGGGCGAGGGGACATGCTCAAAAACTCCACTTCGACTGTGTGACTGCAAGCCCTGCAGGCATGCGAGTCAGTCACATGAGACCGTGCATCGTGCAAGTCGCCTGTGTCATCAGGAGGTCCTTGGTATCTTGCAGCGGGCAGCACCCTGCCAAAGCCGAATCAAAAAAGGCTCAATGTATATATGGTCTCGGGCGGCCACCACCCCCACCCCCATGGTATCCCCCCCTTCCTATTTTTTCCTGGCGTGGGTGTGGTTGGGGGTTCGTGTTTAAGGGCCTACCCCTGCCACCCCCCCCCCCCGTGGCGTGGGTGTGGTGGGTTTAATGTGCAAGGTTTAAGGTTTAGGGTTCGGGGTTATGGTCTAAGGTTTAGGCCCATGGTGATATGGGGGGTTGGGGGGAGGATTTGCGGTTGAAGGTTTAAGAGACCGGTTGCCCATGCTACCCCTTCGCCCCCCCCCCCCCCCCCCCCATTGTGGTGTGGGGCGTGGTTTGGGGTTAGAGTTTACGTTAGGTAGGTATTAGGTTGAGGTTTACTAATGTTTCACCGGGTGTTCGGTTTAGCCCCCCTGCCTGGGGTGGGGGGGCGCGGAGTGGGGGTGGTGGGGAGTGGCGAGGGGGTGAGTGCAGCTGGGGGGGGGGGGCGTGATGGGGGGGGGGGGGGGGGGGGGGGGGGGGGGCCTGTATCCTTTGTATGATAACAACTACATATATATATATATATATGTATTACATAAATACCATAGAATGCATATAAATAAAAACAACAATGTTGGTAACAATTCCGTTGGCTCTTTGCCCAAGGCTCGCATGAAGACCCAAAGCCCGCACGTCAGTATGGCATACACCCATCTCTTCCATGCTGGGACCTGTAGCTGCGAAATTGAAGTTCGACTGCACCGAGCACACACCACAGTCGCCTTCACACGCAACAGCCCAAAGCTGAGACGGCTGCCGTGTGGACGCACATCCGTATAGCTGCTTCGACACCATCACCGTCGCTCTTGAGGTCATCACGCGCAAAGCGATGCACCATGCTCGCAAGGAAGTTCCTGAAGGGCACTGCGCTTCGTGTTATGACTTTGAAAACAGATGCGACTACCATCCTGGTGTTGGCCTACCCTTCTTCCCAGTCGGGCCAGCTGTCAGCCTTCACACCCGCACAAAGACCCACTACTGTGCCCCACTGTTCTCTTGATCTCTCACTTGTCTCCTGTCTTCCGTCGTTCCGAGGCAGGCTTTGCTGTTTACGTCGTTGTCGACGGCCTCGCTTGTTTCCATGTTGATGTCCGTCATGATCCTGGCGCGTGCGGGAAAATGAAAGGATCCTGAGACACTACCCCTCAAGCCTGGATTCTCTGAAACACCTCCCCGAATTCAAGCGGAAGGCTGGAAACTGCTTTTGCTTCACCTCATTGGGGCGGCCTGAGAATCTGCCCAGAACTTGATGATCTCTTTGGACAAGCCCACAAAACAAGGGACCAAAAGAAAACGCAAAAGAAAGTGCAAGAGAGCTCTCCCAAGCAACCTCGGAGCCCCCCAGGAGACTGCCTGCTACTCAGGTCGAGGAGGAGCTTGCGCACCCCCCTGTCCGGATCTTTTGCTTTCTCTTTGTCAGAGCCCGAGTCATCGGAATCTGTGCCTTGGAGACGCATGCCGGAGTATGTCCGGTATGAGGGCCTAGCCTTGCAGACACGTCCTTTCAGTGCTATGCTACCCCCGTGCAAGCATGGTGTCAGCCTTTACTCTGCCTCTTCTTTTGTCTGCCGGGGGCCAGTTTCTTCGTTCATTCTGGACATGCATTCGTTTTGCGGGAGTTGACGAGGGGAGGGGAGGGAGGGGAGGGGAGGCGAGGGGAGATGGGAGGACTTGTGGATGGGTTCCGGGAAGAGCACAAAGTATCGTGTGCTCGGTTTGTGGATGTGGGTCGGGGGGCATGTTGCTGTGTGGAAGGAGGTTTTTTTCAAAGCAAAGATGTTTATGGCCCTGGCCATCCCTGGCCATCCCTGGCCTCTCACGTTCAGACTTATGGTAGCCTTGAAGTGTTTGCAGTAGCGGCGGTGTTTAGTGCTGACTTCCGCAAGGCCCGCAGCTCCGCTCAGCATGCAGCTGGAGGGCTGAGAGCGGTATAAGTTTTCACCTCAGGGGCCAAGCGTGGGCTTAGTTGGGCTAGGACAGCTAGGATTTGGGATCAGCTGTCCACATTTCCGTGCAGCTCAAGCCTGAACTGCACGTTCTGGTG